GCTTTTCTCTGTGGTTATCGTGGAGTATATTCTTGTCTCTTCATTTTTAGAACAGTGTGTTCTGTGAAGATATTGTCCTGTTTTCCTCTCCATTTGAAGGTATGAACCTAGACGTTTTATTCCCTCTGAAAGGTTAGTTGTTGTTGTTGTGTGCTGATTGAGTTCCATGGTTTTTAAGGTACAATGTTTTATGGTCTTGTTTTGAGTTTCTATTTCTGATTTGGTTTTAGTGTTGATGCCATGTATCCTGGTTTTGTTGATCTCTGTTGTGGGTTCTCTATTGGAAGGACTTCCTTAAGCATTTCTTGTAGGGTTGCTCTGGTTTTCACAAAATCCCTTAATTTCTGTTTGTCTGAGAATGCTTTGATTTGCCCTCAGATTTGATGGATAATTTGGCTGGATATAGGATTCTTGGTTGGAAGTTCTTTTCCTTCAGTGTTTTATATATGCCGTCCCATGTCCTTCTTGCCTGCATGGTTTCTGCTAAGTAATTGGAGCTCAGCCTAACTGATTGATTATTATAAGTAATATTTATTTTTTCCCGGGAAGCTCTCAAATTTTTTTCTTTGTCTTTGGTTTTGGAGAGTTTGGTTTTAATACGTCTCGGTGTTCTTCTCTTGGGATCTATCTTGTGTGGGTTTCTATGAGCTTCTTGTACAAATATATTTTCTTCCTTCATGATATGGTGGAAGTTTTCTGTTAGAAGGTCTTCTGCAATTTTCTCATTGATCTTTTTCACCTGTTCTTGTTCTGGAATTCCAATGAGTCATATGTTGTTTTTTTCTCATGTCATCACATACAATTTTTAGGTTCTCTTAAATCTTTGTTCTGATTTTTCTTCATACAGGCTAGTGTCCAGGGATTTGTCTTCTTGTTGGGATATGCATTCTTCAGCCAGTTCTAACCTGCTATTTTGTGCTTCTACTGTCTTGTGTAATTCTGTCATTTTGGTACTCATCTTCTGCTTTCATTATTCATCTTCAGCATTTCTAATTCCTGTTTTTGTATGAGTTCTGTCTGTGCATTAATCTTATTATTTTGCTCTCAAATGATTTTCCTAAATTCTTCCAGTGAACTGTCTGTGTTCTCCTTGTGTCTGTTTGGAGTTTCCTTAGACTCTTGTATAGCTCTATAAACATATTATCTAAATTCCTTCTCAGATAATTCTATTGCCTCTTCTTCCTCCACGTATAATGAGACCTTTATTTGTGGTTTTGCTTCTAATGCCTTGTCCTTTTTTGTTTGTTTGTTTGATTGATTTCATGTTACCTGTTGTTTCCTAGACATTTTGAGGTTGTCTTTAACTGTTGGTTACATATTTATTTGTTTTGTCTTGGTGTTATAGTTTAATATTTTGAAGAGGTGAAGCTGGTGTATTTTACTTTATTTAGTTATTAATTCAGGTGTGCTGGGTCACTCTGCAGTTTTCTTTGTGATGGTGGAACCGCTGTGTGGAATGTGGATATGGGTTTCTGTTTGTTGTAAAGAGGGTTTAGAGTTCGAACCAGGAGGTTTTATGTTGGCTGAATGTGGTTTCTTCTATTGGATGAGTGAAGTTATTGGCAGAGAAAGTGGGAGTGGAAAAATGAAAGCTTGCTATTGCCATGGCTGTTTCTAGGGCTTTGAGCGGGCTACTACTGATGACATTGTACTGTTATTTACAGGCCTTCAGCTCAGTTTCAGCAAAGACTCCAGTTGTTAGGGGGTCACCACTTTCCACCAGGCTCAGACACACGCAAAAACTCCATTCCCAAGGCCCCTCGGCACCAGAAAGCTGACCCAAGGCAACTTCCCAGCTCCATGATCCACCATGGGTGTTTCTCTCTCCAGCCCCACTTGCCCGCCAGGCTGGCCCAACTCACCCAGACTGCAATCAGCTCAGGAGTTTCTCTGTGAGTCCACCCACCTGTGACGCCAAAGATGCACTCGGTTTCAGGTGTACTAGATTCAGGAGAGTGCCTGCTTGTAATCTGTGGTCGCACTATTAGTGATAAAGTCAAGCACAGATCTCTCAGTGCCACTAAGCTGACCCAAGCCTATTCAGTGACCTGCTGAGGGGGGAGCAAGCCCACCCTCCTGGAGCACTAATGGGCACTCTGCTTGGGTTTCTGTGGTGCTGGACATGCCTGTTTGTGCCTAGCTGACCCAAGTTACTGATAAAATCAGGTGCTGAAGGTAAATCCTTGTGAAGATCACTGGTATGCTGGTATGGAGTGTCTTCTGCCTTGACCCAGGGAGGTCACTGATGGCCATTCTCACATGCTGTTCACTCCCCCAGGGAAGTCTCTAATGGCCTTTCTCAGCTGCCTTTCCACGCTCCATAGGATAGATCTTCTTTTGTTTCTTCCCCGAACCTTTCCTCTAATACTATTGCTCTGACTTTGGTCCACTCTGACTCAGTGAGCTGTTCAGAGCACCAAAACCCTAATTCAAACTGCTGTACCTACTTTTTCAAGCACTAACATACTAGAGGTAAATAGTGTGGTGATTAGTGACAAGACTCCATTTTGAATCTTCATGTATTTTCTTATTTATTATGCTAATATCATGAAATATACTAATTAAAAAAAAATATATATTAAATCAACCTGTGCTCCTTGGACAAATCTCACTGTCATGATTTTTTATCCATGTTATTGATCTTTTTAAAGAACCAGTTACTGATTTCATTGTCTTTTCTGTTTTCTAGTTCTTTTATTTTAATTTTGAACTTTACTTTTCCTTTATTCTGTCTATTTTGGGTATATTTTGCTTCTCTTTTTCTAGGTAGAAGCTGACATCATTGATTTGAGAGTTTTCTCCTTTGTTTTCTTTCCTTTTATAGAAGTTGAGTGTTATAAAATTTCATATTCCATAAAAATTCCTAGGAGGTAGTTATTTTTTTGTTAGTTGTTACTTGGAAATTGTTTGATCATTTCAGGTCTTGTTTTTAAAGTTTTTTTGACAGAACTAGGACAGTTAAAGCTAGAGTTAATTATTTCCCAATACTGAGGCAAGACCCTTCTGTGTACTCTACTCAGAGTGCTTTGATATAAAGGATTTTCAAGTATGCTTGGGGGTTAATTGGAACAATTCCTGAACCTGTGTGAACTTTAGTTTCTCTCCTCTTTAATTCTTTTGTAGGACTCTTTCACCACCTTGTTGTCGTACCTTACTTGCCTATGCTGTCAGTACCCTGTTGAATACTTCAGGGGAATATCTTGTGAACTCCAGGGTTCTATCTCTGCTGTGTTCTTTCCTCTCCTCTTCTCCCACCCCTCCCCCCTCCCCTCCTCTCCCTTCTTCTCTCCTCTCTGGTTCTTTGCCCTGGGGGCTCTAGTCATTTTGTCTTCCCTTGACTCTGAGCTCCATCTCTTCTACTCAGGAAGTTCTCTGTGTTCTACCCAGGTTCCCAATCCCTATGCTGTTACCTGGAATTTCTCTCAGGCATTAAGTTGTAGCCCTCATGGGACTCGTCTCATACATTTCCTTTCTCTCGGGAGCAATGTCTTTCATTGTCTGATATCCAATGTTTTGCATAGACTTACTTCATATCTTGTTCAGTTTTTTTATTGCTTTAGGTACAAGAACAAATCTAGTAATATTAACTTCTTATTGATTGGAAAGGATGTTAGGTCTTTACTTTAAAATTTGTATCACCCATACAGACAGGTAGTCCCTGACTTATGATATATTTAGTTATGAACTGCAATTGCAACTCATATATATATATATGTGTGTGTGTGTGTGTGAATATA